TTCCCTTTATAGACAAAGGAGTCTTTAGAAATCAGGGTGGCTCTCTAACCACCTTTTCCTAAGGCCAGGGATCCATCTAAATGACTGTATTATTTACTGCTATAATGATCTTCAGGGGAAGGAGTGTTAATGAAACAGTGAGGAGTGAGAGTATTCCAGGTCTCATTTTTCACAAATGATATCATGATAATTGGGGGGAAAGAAACGTCTGCCAGTAAAATAACAAGTGATGTGAACACACACCCAGGGACTTTTTTTCCTTCTTGAAACAATACAGATGAGTATATCTTTGACTCATCATCGAAAGACTGTAGTTAGCTTTATCATGATGGAGTCTTTCTAGTAACACATCTGCAACTTCTATGAAGGTGGACACTAGAACACTTATCAAAACAAAAGTCATTCCCTCCAAACCATTTCATTAAAAGCGTTTCCCCCCAATGTTAAAATCCAAATCTATCCGAGGTTAATAGGATAGTTCACCCAAAAACAGTCTTTCCAAACCTGTAGGCCTATTCATTTTTCTCTTCTGTGAAAGAGTCAATACAATGAAAGTCAATGGGGTCCAAAACAACATTAGACCCCATTGACTTGAATTGTATGAACATTTGATTTTTAAATATCTTTTGTGATACACAAAAGAAATCTTAACAAACCTGTATGAATTTCTATCTTCTGCGGAACACAAAAGATGATATGAGAGGGAGTAAATGATAATGGAAATTTTTAGCTTAATTATCCCATTAGCATGCAGACACAACTTTAAAGTTGTGAAGTAATGTAAAGTAATGTAAAGAGAAACATTTAAAACACTATCAAAACCACTATTTTTTAATTCCATTTGTTGACAGTTCAGTTTAACAAAAGAAGATATTTTAAAAGATTTATTCTTTGAAGAAGTTTAAACACTGTGTCTATGAGGCATGTTCAAAACATCCCAACCGGCCCGACAACAGCAACATTGGGTCAACCAATAGCAGGAGTTTGGGGTGGGGATATCTGTTTGTTCAACCAATGGCATAGAGGCAAGTGTTTGGGAAACCTTTTTAAAAACAACCAACAAAATTTGGGCTGGTTTACACATAACATGTTTTCTATGTAAACCCATGCTAAACGGTTGACCTTTGCACTTGTGTGTATTTTGTATGAACAGCCCCTTAATTTGTAGTAAAATCCCCTTGTACTCTCTGTACAGTATTTGCACTGGTCTATATGGTTTTGCTGTGCCAATATAAGTTAGTAAAATAAAAAGAGAGACATCTGTTGTCCTGATTTTGATTAAGTCATTCAATGTCGTGCTTTGACATACAACAGACATACCTGTATACTTATCCTGAATTAAGCAATGACAACTGGCTGTTGAAAGACATGTCTAGTAGTTGGCTAACAGTATCTAGTCCCTGTACAATTCACTTGGCTCTCTTACACATGATTCTCCTCTGGCCAAAAAATTGCTGTTGGCTGATGGTTTGGTGTCTTATGCAGTTGACAGTCAAAGCTCGACACATCAGTTAGGTTGCCAGGCACTTGTTGATTTAGAATGACTGTTATCAACTAGTAGAATATTAACATGTAATTTGACAAAATCCGGTAATTAAGCATCACAGTGGAATTGGAAACCTATTCCCAACTGAAGGAGACGCGAACAATGAAACCTTGTCTACGGCAGTCTCTAACTGACTGAATCATGCTGAGGCACGTGCACATTTTAATCAGTTAACTTCATTTACACATCTGAATCAACAGAGATAAAAATAACGAACAAATGCACCATAATAGCACCTAAATTAATTAAAGAGTAAACACAGGAAATGAGGGATATCAGCTAATCATTCTAATAACACATGCTTCAGGCTGCCGTTTAAGCGAGAGAAGAGGAGATCACATTAAAATGCACATATTAATATAGTTTTCGATCTAAATTTAGCGAGTCGACTTGTGTGCACTTTGACAAGGAATTACTGTTCAAATTCATGTATAAGTGAATAAAGTATCAATCATTTATGTAATTAAAAAAGGCAAATGTACAGACAACTTTTTAGTGGCAAAGGCGAAATGTTTGACTGTTGGCATCCATGCATTCAAGAAAACCTTTACCTGGAACAACAAACCCCAGGTCATTTATCTACAATCACAAAACGTGTCTTTAGTTTATGTTAGCCTTAACACGCTTGATTGCCCTCTCTCATAGCGTCATTCGCTCACACTGAATGAACGGCAGTTGCGCAAGTCAGAGACACCAGAAGCAAACACAACCTCTCAACATACAACGTTCTGCAACTCATAATTTTCTTCTGGGGTTTCTTTCTAACCATGAAGAACCTAAGAAGACCCCTGACAACATCGCAAACACATACAAGTACATTCAGACAGGGTTTTCCTCCAGCTTGCTAGTCAAATGGACTGAATGAAGTCAATGAAGCTGAATATTCAACACCACAACCAAAGATTAAAGATTTAAAACACTAGGCATCATATCCCCAGACTGGATGGATTCCAGTCTTTAGACTATTTTAAAGATGTTGTTATGGTCTAGAAGTACACAAAACCAGCCAACAGACTAGCCTAACAAGGCTGGAAGGCCAGTTAAGACCAACTCTGGCTGGTTTAAGTTGTTGTTTTTTCAAGAGGATTATGGGCAGGTTCTATTAATTAACTGTTCAGAGACAAGTTACTGGTGCATTGCATCTAGCTGTTCTTTTAAGACTTCAGCATTTAATTCCTTTCAGTTGTCCTGTATGAGCAGAACCCACTATAATCTAACATCAATAAGTGTTGAGTGCTGTTGTTGGCTGCCCCGAACATGAAGTCACTGTGTAATGTTATTATTATAATGTTTTAATGATCAATCATTGCTGTCATTTGCACTAAAGATGGGCACAAATACCCTTATGCTGATTAGTTGGGAATTAAATGTACTATTAGCCATAAAAGAGCCTTAAGGACTTGTGGTGATCCAAGACATCACCTCCTCCAAGTTTTTCCTATTTAAAGGACAGGGAGGTTGCCAAATGTTTTGATGCTTGGTTTTGTATGTGACAAAATCCACCAGTTCCGAATCAATTCAAAAACACACACATCATCTAATAGCAAGTGGCCTTTAAAATCTCCCCCCTCACAGATGATAATGTCATCTCTCTGTGGGAAAGAATGCATTTGCTGCATAGCTGACTTGTGACATGGCAAAGAGCATCGAGGACCTTCCGGAGTATAGGAAGATGGGAAAATGGCCAGTCTTCTTTCGAATGGCTTCTTTCGAATTCTTCCCAGCCAGACAGAGTGGCTTTTCTCGAAACAGGGCAGGCAAAGCCACTCCATAGCGTGTTTTTATCTAATCCCTTTAATTCAACTTTAAACATGGGCCTTTAGGAACTTAATGAAAATAAATGAGACTGTTAGTGGAGCTGAATTGATGACAACACAAATCATCCTCCAAAGGCCGAGCTGATTAATGAAAGGATCTCACACAGCACTGGGTGTTTCTTCTTGTGCATTTCTGTGATTTAATTAGCCGTTTCTAATCTAGCGGTTTTAATCCACTTTATAATTTATCAGTGTTAACTGAAATGCATGACCACATTGTAATCTTTATTCTCAAAGGCATTTCTTGTTGTTTTAAAAAGTGTCTGATTAACCTCATCATATACAGAAGGAATAATCCCTTTTGTTCGGATATTCCGCTTGATAATATGCTTGAACACGCAGGGTGAGATACAAAATATACAGTAAATTCCTCTTCTGTTATGTTATTACCATAGTCGCAGGTGCAAAGTGTCTTTTTTAACAATACAGCGTAATTCCACTTAAGGAGGGAGACACATACTTAAAGACTTCTCATGGTTTTATTAGCTGTGTGGAAAGCTTGTGTTAACAGAAATATACAAAACATTTTGCTCATGACAGAAACTTTTGAATGCTGTTTTCTTAGGGACTTAGACATATTACTCAAAAATAAAAAAAAATAAAAATTAAATTAAATATTCACTCAAAAATATTACTTTTTATCAACACAAGCATCAATAAGTCACATAATGTCAGAGGCAAAGATATGGAAACTTCCCTCCAATATTACAACAGCACAAGTTCAGTCAGTCATTTCTACTCTGAAAGACGAATGGTGTGAGGATTTGAGAGGTCACTCGGGGTCTTACCCTGTGCCTTGGGTGTGTAGGAGGAGGCAGCTCTCTGTGTGGGAGGCCGTGGTGGTCTAGCTGGTGCTGAACTCATCTGTGAAAACAAAGACACCCGAATATACATCAACAGGCTTGTCTCTCACTCAGTGAACTTCATAAACAGAGACTGACACTGATGCCATAAAAATCAATTAGTTTAAGTCTTTGAAAGCACAATTAAAAATTTTTTTTATGTAAGCTCAGTTTGACCATAAAAATAAGCAACTATAGCAACATTTGCAAATAAGCAACTAAATATGCATTGCATTTCGAATAGTGTCATATTGTGGCATACACATAAATAACTTTGAGGTCTCAAAACATTATATGCACTGTAACTATTCATTTTACTCGTTATTATGATAGGGAATCCCTTGAGTTGTTTTGACCTGATTTCATGGGACCAATCTTACCACCCAAACTATGAGTTGCCAGGTGGAAAGCCTATATTACTGTCATCTACTGTGTTTTATAGTAGTATGATTTATAGTAGCCATCAAATGAAACTCACAATTAGCTTCAAATGTGCTGAAAGACTTTGTCAACAGATTAAACCTCTCGTGCTTTATTTACATGTAATTTATTAATTTCGTCATTCCAAACTACTTCATACTTTTGAAGAAAATATGTACTTTAATGTTTGTCTCTAGAGTCACTCAAAAATATTACTTTTTATCAACACAAGCATCAATAAGTCACATAATGTCAGAGGCAAAGATATGGAAACTTCCCTCCAATATTACAACAGCACAAGTTCAGTCAGTCATTTCTACTCTGAAAGACGAATGGTGTGAGGATTTGAGAGGTCACTCGGGGTCTTACCCTGTGCCTTGGGTGTGTAGGAGGAGGCAGCTCTCTGTGTGGGAGGCCGTGGTGGTCTAGCTGGTGCTGAACTCATCTGTGAAAACAAAGACACCCGAATATACATCAACAGGCTTGTCTCTCACTCAGTGAACTTCATAGACAGAGACTGACACTGATGCCATAAAAATCAATTAGTTTAAGTCTTTGAAAGCACAATTAAAAATGTTTTTTATGTAAGCTCAGTTTGACCATAAAAATAAGCAACTATAGCAACATTTGCAAATAAGCAACTAAATATGCATTGCATTTCGAATAGTGTCATATTGTGGCATACACATAAATAACTTTGAGGTCTCAAAACATTATATGCACTGTAACTATTCATTTTACTCGTTATTATGATAGGGAATCCCTTGAGTTGTTTTGACCTGATTTCATGGGACCAATCTTACCACCCAAACTATGAGTTGCCAGGTGGAAAGCCTATATTACTGTCATCTACTGTGTTTTATAGTAGTATGATTTATAGTAGCCATCAAATGAAACTCACAATTAGCTTCAAATGTGCTGAAAGACTTTGTCAACAGATTAAACCTCTCGTGCTTTATTTACATGTAATTTATTAATTTCGTCATTCCAAACTACTTCATACTTTTGAAGAAAATATGTACTTTAATGTTTGTCTCTAGAGGGGTTCCTCTGTGCACTGTGTGTATCACAGACTCAAATGAACAATATTTTTTGACTCAAATGAGTCAAAAGATTTGTTATTTTGACAGAGAAAAAAAAGACCAGAGTAAGTGGAAAATAGCGTGACTTCAAATCCCATCAAGTATAGAGATTATAGTAATTTTGTTATTTTAATTTATAGTAATCTTGAAATGATGAGTGATGTTGTCAGTCAAATTAATGTGACGTTTTAGCATGCAATGACATTTCACGTGAGCATTTTAAACAGAGCAAAAGAGTATATCTGGATGGGTCAGGAATATTTATTCTGTAAACGGTCCTATTTAAACAGTAATCCCTTGCTATATTGCCGTGCACTATGATTCTTGAAGAAACAAATATTTAAGTTAATATGATTTCAAAAATTCCTCTAAATTTGATATGTTGGGAATTTGTGAGTAAACCGTCCTCTCACTTTCAGCTGTAAAGTCATTCTAATGATTCATCTAGTCTGATTCACTCTAGTGAATCTGTTTGTTCAGACACTGTTCATGTAAATGACAAGATTAAATAATAACAAATTATTTACGATTCACAAATGTCAGTCCCTGTTCTGATTTCTAACATGCTTAATGAATATATTTGGTGACAGTGAGATTTAGTTAAATGCCACTCTTCACCACTGTTATTTTTTATGATGTATATTTTGTACATTTATCTGTTACACTTTGATTTTATCTCCCTGATAGCCCTGACTGGTAATTCATTCAAAACTCTCTTTGTAGTGTCAGAAATGTACAGCTTTGATTAAAGAAAAAAGTTTTAAAAATCTCCAGATATTTTATAATCACCAAATATATAGCTATATATTTACATTATTTTATTTTATATTTTATATATTTAATGATATTGTCCACTTACGTAGTTGCTTGTAGTCTAGCTAGCTACTTTTTCAAAAGAGTAGCAGGACTATATTTAAACTACTGTAAATTATAGGTAACACTTTATTATAAGGTTCCATTTGTTAACATTAGTTAACCACATTAGTTAAAAGTAAGAATGAATATATTAGAATTTATTCATTTTATTTTATGTTAATTCCAATATTTACTGATACATGATTAAATTAAGAAGTCGTACCTGTTAATATTATTATTTAATGGACATGCGCTAACATGAACTAACAATAAACAGTTGCATTTTAATGAACTAAGATGTATTGCAAAATATGTATTGCTCACTGTTAGTTAATATTAGTTAATGCATTAAATAACTTTAGTTAATGGGACCTTATTGTATATTGCTACAAAATTCTGAGTAAAAGTTGCTTGGTTTCATATATGTTTGCCCAACATGGGGCAGTAGTACACAGACAGTGACCTTGCTTGAGGCTTGCATGTGTAGTCCTGCAAAATGGTGTACAAATCATATGCTTCAGGTGGGGGTTCCACATTGAGAATAGCAGAAGCATGAATGTCTTGGCCATAAAACCTAATCAAATGTAAAGCACACATAAAATATTGAAACTGTAACATCAGTGCCCGAGGGCTTTGATGCAGCATTTAAACCCTTTAACCTCTAACACTGCAATGTGCTTACTTTCAGTTTGTTTCTTTGCGTTCGATGAGGTAAGAACCGACGAGAGACACTCCAGCATAAAGGCCACGAGATTTGCAGTAAGAGTAGACAGCTGCTGTACTGTGAAATGCCACATCTGCCTCCAAATTTTTGTCAAAGATTTGACAGACTTGTATATGGAAGGAATAAACATTACACAGTCAAAGCTCATAGTGAAATCGATTGAAAAGATAAAACTATGCGCTGTTTTCAGTGTAATAATAACTGGTATTTGTTGGGAATAATCTAAATTATTTACAAATATTTTGGAAAAAAGTCTCTAAGGCTGTATTTATTTAATCAAAAACAGAGTACAAACAGTAATATCATCATTGAATTATTACAATTTAAAATATTAGCTTACTATTATAATATATTTTAAAATATAATTTATTCCTGTGATGGCAAAGCTGTATTTTCAGATTTTCAGCAGAAATCTGTTGTGCGATTGTGATTTTTTTTTTCTTCATAGAACAGTAAGTTCAATATACAGTAAATGTCTTTGTTGTTATTTTTGTTCTGTTTAATGCATATATGCCGAATAAAAGTATTTAATCAAAAAAAGTATTTTTTTAATTAAAAAAAATAATAATACTGACCCCAACCTTTTAATGGTAGCGCATTTCATAATTTAGTGTTTCATTACCATTTCCATTTTCAAACATCCCTCACAAACTATGAAGACCAGGCTCAAATGACCCTGACTTTGTTAACAAAAACAGACTTTCAGACTTTTAACATTAGGCAATGTCTCTTAAAGGATGTGCAGAGTATTAGGTGCTACATACAGTCAAAAATGTAAATGCGGATTGACATAGTATATTAATGTATTAATGCAATTTTGAAATGGACAAGCTAGCTTACAGAACAACTTTTCAGTTGTGAAAGTTACAGTATGTTATACCTTATTCTTTTTGATTTAAAAAATATCATATGATATGACCCCTTTAAAATGTTTATAAAATGTCCAAGTTCCATTGTCCACTTAATAAGTAATAACTATATTCTTAAAAGAGACCTTGATTTTATTAAAATCATGAGATGTGACACTTATATAAAATATCCAAGTAGGTGGTAAGAAGGTTCTATTCCAAATATAACTCATTTCAAAAGAGCACATACGCCCTGCAGTCATTGCTGTCAAACCAAATCCAAACCCGATCTAATCCAAGCCAACAAATCAAACACATCCACATTAAGTGGAATCTTAAGCCCTAGTTTTCAAAGCTACTGTAGTGCAGCAGGCAACCATTCAGCAATATCACTTGCAGCTCTATTCCGGCAAGATCCATAAACAACAATTAAAGCAGTGAGAATAAAAAAGGACTTTCCACACAAGCACAAACACAGCAGAATCTGTCAATAAAGAGTAAAACCACTGAGTCACCTTAGAATAATGCAGCTGTCATTTAAACTAGCACTTCTGAATGGCTCCTAATGTACAGTATGGACACCTGTCATTATCTTTAATTCTCACTTTATTTTCCGCACAGGCTCATGCTTGTCAAATTATGAATGACTGTGTTGTAGGTGAAAGCTGAAGCTGGCAGCTCACAACTGTATACATTTTTTTTTGTATAAACATGACATCGGAGAAAAAGGGTCCCTTGTGAATGTGATCAAAATACAGATGGCTTTTATATTCTGTTGATTTTACATTTAACATTCAGCAAGAGGAAAATTCCCCCCATTGCTTTCCATAAATGCACCAAAACTGCAGTTCAAAAACATTAGACAACAACTTTATACCCTCAGATAAAAACTGTCAAAGCTCTCCATCACCTATGTAAACACTTTAAAAACTTTCTCCAAACAAATGGACTTCAACAGTTGATTTACAAGCCAATGTAACATAATGAAACTCACAAGAGGACTGCACAAACCTTGTCTCATTCCTGTCCACAGAGCCCTGGCAGTGCTAACAGTAACATTTTTTTAAAAACAATCATAATATCAATTGCCGAACATAAATCAAACCTTTCGCCCTGAAGCCATAACCTTTGATTTTAATCAAAAGTCAGTCAAGTGACGCAGATAAAAAATAAAACACTATAGTAATAAAAGTGTCATTTCAAATTCCGACGCTGATACTTAACAGTGGACATTTGCTCAAAGCACCCAAGTTTCCAAACCATTACTCTACATTATTCCCTTTCTTCTGCCCCCTGGCAAAAGAATGGGGTACTACAATTGTACAACTGTAAAATTGCTTGTTCTACTCCTCAACTGTAAGTCGCTTTGTATAAAAGCGTCTGCCAAATAAATGAATGTAAATGGAAGTTACATACCTGCCAAGAGGCCCAACAGCCACAGAGAAGTTTCCTCCAAGTGTAAGATTGTCCCCTTTACTAAAAGCATCTAAAGCTCTCCTCTGATTCAGGATGATGACAAAATCTGATCCCTGGATATGAAAAAAGAGAACATACAGTGGGTACGGAAAGTATTCAGACCCCCTTAAAATTTTCACTCTTAACAATATTGCAGCCCCTTGTTTATGTATAGTGTTAGATTTTATTTTTTTTTTTACATTAGATTACATTGAATTAATTTTTTATTATTTATAAAAAATATTTAATATTTAAATAAAATTTTCACAGGAAGCCTTAAATTAAATAAAATATTTAAAAAAAATGTTTTATTGTTTCTTTAATATTTAAATATTTATTTAATATTTATATAAATATGATTTTTTTTCATCTTAAAATTAATCTTAAATTAAATTAAACTAAATTAAATACTTATTTCCTTTCATATTTAATTTAATGTTTAAATATTATAAATAATAAAATATGACCAGAGGCTGTCATTTTAAAGAAAGTCTTAATTTAAGACTAAAATTTGCTGACTGCTACTCTTCGTAAAGCTTTAATCAAACATCAAACTCGAAATAACAAGGGTCTATAAAATATTACAAAAACAATAACTATTTTATTTTTTTGTTGCAGGGCCAGCTAAGGAACACAGAAAAGCTGCAATGCGATCTGGCTCTTTTGCCTCAAGCTGCCCATTTTGGCTTTCTCAAGCCAACATCAAAGTTTGTTCACAAACTTTATCCTCTAGTTTACCCTGTTCCTTCACCTAAATAGAAATAATAACTAAATCAGTATCGTTATTATTAATTCATATAATCAACTTTGTTTTCTGCTTGTAGGATTTATAAAATAGTGCCACAGATGTGCTGCAGTATAAACGATATTGCAGAATCTCTACTGGTCGACATTTCCACAGCTGCATGGTATACAGTACCTTCAAACAGCCCAGCCCTAAAACACTCACACATTTCACCAGATACTCAGAACTGCCTATTCTAGTCTCACAACTGACATCACTCTTTCATGATTTGCTCTATTTACAAAATTATATCTGGGTTTTTTTAGCACCAGAACATGTGATCTTGCTATACATCACTCTGATAAGAACCCGGCCAACTACTGTGCATCTGTCACCATCAAAACATTAAAAAGTAGTACAATACTCAACAATAGTTTTTATGCTTTTTAAATGCTGGATGGTGAAGTACCTTCAAACAGCCCAGCCCTAAAACACTCACACATTTCACCAGATACTCAGAACTGCCTATTCTAGTCTCACAACTGACATCACTCTTTCATGATTTGCTCTATTTACAAAATGATATCTGGGTTTTTTTAGCACCAGAACATGTGATCTTGCTATACATCACTCTGATAAGAACCCGGCCAACTACTGTGCATCTGTCACCATCAAAACATTAAAAAGTAGCACAATACTCAACAATAGTTTTTATGCTTTTTAAATGCTGGATGGTGTCATAAGATTTGGTCCCGTTTCAGACATGCTCTTGTTTTAATGCCTAAAGATAAAATCGATATTTCCTGTACTCCCTTGCTACTTATTAGGTGTGCTGCTACTAACTGAGAGACACAGACCGCAGAGCTAACCACTGCGCCTGAAGGCTACTCGAGAAATTAATCAAGACTGTCAAGATGCACAGGCGCTCGGTACACAAATGACTCATCCAAGCTGCAACCCAAGGTCAGGAAACAAAGTGCAACTTCTGCCTGATGTTGACAAATGACTCGCTGGACACAAGCACAATGATTTCCTGTGTCAGAGACAGGAGGATCCACTTTATGCAGTGAAAAATTATGAAGCCAGCACCTGAGATACAAATAGCTCCAGACAAAAGGCTGACCTCTGATTTAGGAAAACAGTCATAATGAGTGATTCATTATTGACATGCTTTTACAGAACATCATGTAAGATTCATAGGAAACTTACTATTAATGTGACTTTACTTAAAATCAAAAAGAAAATGTATAATTATTATAGGGAGCACCTGTTTATTAATAAATGGTGGAGAAAGACCCCAAAAACTTTTTACAAGATGACGTCCATAAAGTGTGGGCAGTTAATTATGTTTTTATAGATTTATAGTTAAATTACACAAGGATTTATTACATTTTTTTTTTAAACTTAAGAATATTGGCCGCCTTCTTAGTTAAAACTGAGATTATTCATATTTCAAAAATCGAATTGATTGACAGCTCTAATAACATATATGTTTTATTAAGGAGATGATGGAACGAAAAATAAATACAAAACAAGACAGCCAAGTCAGACAGGGCAAATATTTCAGTGTCTTGATGTTCTTGTCTATGCATGACTCAGACAATCTCGACAGAAAGAAAACATATTTTTTGCATGACATTGCATGTGAAGTAATTTACAAATTATATCCTAATGAAGTACCTATATGTCTGCATACAGAGCCTAAACCTTAGGCATATAGCATAGTGTAGTCCAAAATGTTCTTCTGATACATGAACAAACATGTTGCATAATTGTTCTTGAACACTGATTCAGCACAAAATATGTGAGACTGGAATAGTAAAAAAAATATATCTACTACCTTACCTAGGGTTAAACCTATAAAACTTGTCAACACTTAATTTTAGAAGCAATAAAATGATAAAAAAAAGAACTATCAAAGCACTATCAAACAAGAAGCCAAGAGGAATTTTAACAAAAAGACCTTCTCGTAATTAACCCAATATATACTTGGTATACCATTAACTTATCTTTAATCACAATTGGTTGTTTCTTAGAACAGAAAAACATCTTACCTCCAGACCAATTTCAAATCCTCCATCGAGTCCAGCAATGCCAATGACTGAAGGAGCAGACCATCCTTCAGCACAGAAAACAGCAACAAATACACAATTTAACATTAAAAGGAGAAAATACACAAAACATCACACTATACATATATATAAAAAAAACTTTATTTTGGGATGTCCTACTGTAGAATTAGTTTAGATGTTTAAATACGCAGAAACAGACTGATAGCAACCTGTTAATGTAACCTGCCAAATTGCAAATCTCAAAACTTCATTTCGAGATTAAAATACATATAGCACCTAAAACATAAGCCCATTTGTCCATTATTATAAGTATTACAGAAGTTTAAACCAAAGTATATGTTAATATAAATTAAATACAGATATTAATCCCATATCAAAATAATGATTACACAAAAAAACTAAAGGCCTCCTCCAAACTTGTATTAGCTCTGCTTAATGTAAAAAATTCAATGAGTAAAACAAAGAAACACTAGCATAGTCAATGAAGCTCTAAATTACCTTAAGGAGTGTTTTGTTTATTCAGTTTAGAATGTTGCTAAGGCAGCTGCCAGACATCAATTACTCCAAACCCATGAAACCTCCCTAATTACTCAAATTGGTCTATTTTGTTGTAATAGTTTTGGGTTAGACAGGAAGAAAAATTAGGATTGAACTTTTAAACATATAGGAATATACATAAGACATAGGAATATAAATCAACTTGTATATCATTTTCTGACCTCACCAAGCAAATATACATGTACATTGAAAACAGATCTGTCAGAAAGGACGTCAATAAAACACACTTACTTCCATCAGTGAGCCTTGCGATCACTATCCCACTGCCGCCCCTCGCAGTGATCATGAAACCCGCTTTGAAGACTGACAGGATGGCCAGTCCCTGAGCCTTGGCAATGACATGGGCTGGTGTCAGGTGGAGGAAAAGATAGAGGTAAATGAATATGAGATATTATAATTGGACTTGTGCAGGCATAGCTGTTCTGCATCTAAATACAAGGGCTGAAATATGAAGAAAAAAAAACTAAATGAATCTGCAAATGCAAGATGAAACAGGTACAGTATAGGCAGAGTTGATTGGTGCATTGTGTTTTTGCACAGGTTGCACAGATATGGTGAAGTCACTGAGTGAGTTGCATTCATGTCACTTTCTGAAGACATGCATAAACAGATACAAACAAATGGACTTGCAGAAAGACTGCTAGTCACGTACACAGATGACATCAGTCAACAGAAATGCTAACTTTGAGCAGTTAATAGCAGTTACGTGTCAGGCATGGGTGCTATTACTGCATCAGGATTAGTCTACGGTGTAAAAGCATTAGGAACTGTGGCACACAAATAAAAATGGATGAATGTCAATGCATAGAGATATCAGTGTATCAAAGTGGCATTTACTTTTTGACACAACACTCTTTTAAAAGATTTCACAAAAATTATGTTTAAATTATTAATGAAGAGCATGTCCATAGTTAATGTGATGAATTTTGGGGGAACTGACTGGTTACGTTTTTGTAAAAATGGCTCTGTTAGGTTTGTGGTCTTGAATCATTTGTGTGCTGATGCCACTTGGTTTGATATTTTCGTATTTAATGCATTGATATTTCTAAGTGCTACACTCTTAAAAATAAAGGTGCTTCACGATGCCATAGAAGAACCTTTTTGTCTAAATGGTTCCATAAAGAACCTTTAACATCTGAAGAACCTTTCTGTTTCACAAAAGGTTCTTTGGGGCGAAAGAAGGTTCTTCAGATCATAAAAAGGTAAGAAAGAGATGGTTCTTTAAAGAACCTTTGACTGAATGGTTCTTTGTGGAACCAAAAATGGTTCTTCTATGGCATCGCTTGAAGCACCTTTTGAAGCACCTTTATTTTTAAGAGTGTACTTACTGTAAGGGTTCAAATACT